TCAGGAAGAGGCAACGATTCAATTGGAGTCCAGAGGCAGGAAAAAAGTCAATGTCTCCGTTCAAACGTAGACAGACGGGAAGAATTCTGTCTTACTGTGGGAAGTGTCAGTCTGCTTGTTTTATTTAAGCCTTCAACTGTTTGGATGAGGCCCACCCACATTGGAGACAGCAATGTGCTTTATTCCATCTACTAATCTAAATGTTAATCTCATCCCAAAACATCTTCACATTAACAATCAGAATAACGTTTGACCAAATATCTGGATACACCATGGCTCAGTCAAGTTGACATATAAAACTAACCATCACAATTCCCAGAAGGAGGCTGTGGCCATCAGGGTTTGACCAGAAAAACACAACCACTAAGAGATATTGATTAAGGTGTTTGTGACAAGGACTTGCTTTACACGATTATGGCGGCTGGCTGGGCAAGTCTGAACTCTGTAGGGCAGACCATCAGGAAGGGCAGTCTGGAACCCCTGGGCATGAACTGAAGCTGCTGCCCACAGGCAGAATTTCTTCCTCATCAGGAAAGTCTCGATTCTGTTCCTAAGACCTCTTATCTGATTAAATCAGGCCCATCCAGATTACCTAGGACAATCTCTCTTACTTAAAACCACCTGATTATGGACGGGCCTTCATCGCCTCTACAACACACCTTCACAGCAGCCCCCAGATAAGCGTTTGAACGTATCACTGAGGACTATAGCCTGGCCAAGCTGCTGCATAAAGTTGACCATCACGGAGGCTCTGTTTCTTAGGAGGACAGGATAAGAGAGTCAACAAGGCGGTCAAAACCTTTGATGTCTAAGACACAGGGAGGCAGAGAGTGGAGGAGGAAGGAAAAAATAAAACTAAGAGCAATCTAGAGTGGATATATATAGGTAGGTGCCACCTGCCTTCCCAGGCTGAGGAATCCCCGTGTTGTCACCTCAGCGATTCTGAAGGACCATTGTCAGCTTTCGGACTGCTACAGGCACGACTCGGTAAAATCGATAGCCCTCTCCCCTCCATCTCTGCTATAACTGCCCTAGTTCAGGCCTTTATCTTGTCTTTCTTGGTCACCCTGCTTCTGGTCCTCCACTTGTCCGTCTCCTCTCATGACACCCCCAGTTGGTGCCCGGTCAATATGCCCTCAGTCCACCCCAGGCGTCACTTGAAGTTTCAGCGACAGTCCCTATACCTGACTTCCTGCCTCAACCACCTCATGTCTCTGTCCGAGGGTGCTCTCTGACTCAGAGTATGCTCAGCCCGGGGGGGACATACAGGAAACGCCAGGGAGTGGATGCCCCAGGAGCATCCCTCAACCAGGGATGGAGGCAGCCGCTGGGTAAATACCCAGCTTCCTCACCCACAGTAGAAAAAGCCTGGGATTAGCACAGTGTCTCCCAGAGACCTGGAGGATGGAGCCCCATTTGCCCTGTACTGCACCCGTCCTTGCCTTTGTCCCCTTTTCTCACTCACTTCCCCGCTCCCTCCCAGTGCTTCCTGGGCACACATCCCAAGTAAATCACTTCCACCCAAATCCTTGTCTCAGGATCTGCATTTTGGAGAACGCAAACCAAGTCATCACCTTCGACCTATTCATCCAGTAACACAACACGGGCCATTGTAGTCTCCATGTAAAACCCATCATTGCTCTCAGAAGACACCAGTTCCTCAACAGGGAGCACAAGGTTCTCCAAGCTCTGGCCCCTGCTGACTGCTCTGGCTTCATATCCTGCTCTCCCACACAGATTGCTCTACTGAGTTCTTGGAATACCTTGAAAACACCATAATGGTCCTGCCTCTAAGCCTTTAGACTACAGTACCATCTGCCAAGAGCTCCCTTCCTGATCCCATCACTCCAGAGCATCAACGCCATCTTGACCTAGTGAACTCTTATCACTGAGGATGATTCAAGGCTTTCCTTCTCCTGAAGCCTGTCTAAATGTCACCCCTGACCCCCAGCCCTACAAGCAGCATTGTTCGCTCCTCCACCTTCCCCTCACACACCTTGATTAAAAGACCTGCTGCCACTCCAGTGTATTAACTGTTTCCATGTACATCTTTCCCATTTCACAATGAGACTCCCAAGAGTAATGATAACACCTTCCTTTATCCCCAAATCGTACAGTGACTAGCACATTACAAGCAATTATGCAATGCTTGTTAAATGAATGAGTACTCTTAATAGCCCAGGAAGTATCCACACCCATTCCCACTCCTCTGCCCACAGCTTGCTTCCTAATAAAGAAAACTAAAAATTTTCCAAAAGAACTCTGAATTTGATAGACCACTGATTTATTAAATGTGTATTTATAAACCTCAACTCATTGGCTGGAAAGTTCACATAGAATAATGACTGTGAAAGATGCTCCATAAACTGCTAAGTACCGAGGATATACTCAGAGTTGTTTTTATTACGAACAGAGTGGACAATTTAGAAACAAATAAAGTGAGAGGTTAGGCGCCTTGTCCAACATCATTCAGGAAGTCAGTAGGTACGGCAGGATTAGAATGAAGCTTCCGACTTTGGTCTCCAGATTTTCTACATGTTAAACGGGCATCTTCTTAGGACAAGAAAGCTATGAAAACATGGCCACAGGTGTGGCAATAGCAGGCAATTCAATACTTGCCTAGAGTTTGGAGACGGAGGGTTAGAATTTAGTAAACCCTAAGAGCAGCCATCACTTGAGAGCCCTGGACTAGGCCCTTCATATGCATCTGCAAGCTTTGGGACAATGATTTTTGATGAATATTTCAGCTCCAATTTACAGACGAGGAAATGGAAAGTCATAGGGGTTAAGTTAGTCATCTGAGAAGAGGTTGAGCTCAGATTCAAGCCCAGATATGGCTAATTCCAGAACCTACTATCTCCCACATCCACACTCCTCAGAAAGTAAGAAAAGTTGACATTAGTAAGCAGCTATTTTGCACCAAGTACTTAATTACCGTATTTCTCATAATAACCCCGCAAAGCGGCTCCCATTATAATTTCCCTGATTTTGCAGTTGAGGAAACAGCATTGCATACAAGTTAAGTCCCTTTGCCAAAGTCAAAGGGGGGTGAGATCTTGGCCCTTTTAGAAATCAGAGGTCATTTTTTTCCATCTTTCCCTGTTTCTTGGTTCTGGCAGTACATCAGAACACACAAAGAGCTTTTTAGAAACTATCCATCTCCAGACCCCATCCCTTGAAAGTCTGATGCAGTCATTGCCACCACAAAGAAACAAATGTGGAAACAAATTAGGTGGATAAAGGCAAAAAGGAGACAACTGTTTTGTCCAAGCCAAAGCATAGCAGAGAAATCCAGATGGATTCCGGCAAATGGGCGTCCACTCTCCCAGCGCTGACAAGGGTGCAATTGAGAAAGCGAGAAACTCTGACCTCAAATCCAATGGCCCGAAGACAGCAGAGACAGAGAATCACAAGAGAAAAAATTATGCATGAGCTTACCTTACGGTGGGGATTTCAAAACTGGCTCTCTGGAACTGGTCGGGTAAGTGATAGCACAGCTACACAAATGGCTACTTGGTAGCCGTGAAACGGGATGGATTTGTTCTAAATTCATAGACATGGAAAGATGTCCAGGGCATGGTGAAAAAAAGCAGATTGTGAAACACCTTAGGAGTTTGATCCTGTTTGCACGTATAATATGGACATAGTACCAGGCTTTTTAGAGCATAATGGTATATATTATGATATAGTACACAGGAGTGTAGTAGATAATATATGTACACATAGTGTATGTGTATATGTACACACATGTACACCATGTATGTATATATACGCTACGAATATACTATGTATGTATATGGTATTGAATTTATTACGCATATATAGAAAGTAGGAATATATCGTGTATGACTATAGTATGAGTCTGTCTAGTACTTTGAATAGACATGAATATATAGATGGATGTTCACCAAAATATTAATAGTGATGGACTTTGAGGGCATGTATTCTTTCCTTCTTTCCTTAAATGAACATTTATTGAGCTCCTATTTTGTACCAGACACCATCTTTCTTCCTCATGCCTTTTTTCTAATTGCTTGAAAATTCTAAAAGCACGTAGATACCTGTCCCTTTATTAACAGATAATTTCAAAATAACATGGTCTCCTGTCAATTTCCCCAGTAACCACAGATGGGAACTTTGGCGACATTTATAGGACACCCGAGAGCAGAGGAGAGAGAGGAGACCCAGACAGAGAGAGGAGAGCCGAGGATAGAATTCCCAGCCCGCTCCTCCCCGCCTCCGCACACGAAGTTGTTTTTTTTTCCTTTGGTCGGGGGTCACCATCTGTAGATTTGTTCTGCACAAAAATAAAGCCATCCATCTCCCTTACGTGGTGTCGTGTAAGCTCAGGAAAAACCCCAGCACTCAAGGGGGGCCCTGGGTGGGAGAAACACTTATCTGCCTCAGCCGGGTCCAGAGCTCCCCCGAAGGCATCCTTCTCTAGACTCAGGGGGTGGGTTTTGTTTATCCCCCTGGCACACAATGAAATGTCGGGAACACATGCTCAGGGTGAGGTGGGGCCCGATGAAGGTTAAAAATGGAACGGCGGCTTTGATCCCCAGCCAACATCAATGGCGCTGGGGTTGGGGCCAGAGTGAGACGTCATGTTCCCTCGCTGTCTCCACAAACGGTGCAGACAGTCCCCTCCTGACTCCAAACTCAGACAGGGCCCCAGACTGGAAAATGGAGGGAGCGGGGCCTGGGGAGCTGAGAGAAGCAGGCCTCCTTTAGGCAGGCCAGGGGACTTTCTCTGCTTCCACGGGGGAGCCTCCCTCACACAGTTCCATACCTGATGGCGCCAGGACTGGAAACGGACCCCTCACTGGAGGGCCTGCTGGACAGAGGACAAATGGTAGCAGGCCAAGGACTCTCAGCCCCCCTTCTAAGTAATCCCCGGCTGCCATTTTGTAATCACTCCTCTAGACTCACCGTGCTGCGGAGGGCCCCTATTGGTCTAGGCATTCTTCACTCAACCGTCGAACGTGTGTTGAGGGTCTGGTCTGTTTCCAAACTGGGCTGAGTGCTGGGGATGCAACAGTGAACAACGCCCAGGCTCCGTCTTTCCGGATCTTGAGGTCTGGCGGGAAAGAGAGGCGTGGAAAAGACAATTGCAAGATGATAGGTTAAGTGTTCCGAGGTGGGTGAGTACAGGGTGTGGGAGCCCACAATGAGAGAGGTCACCAGGACTTGGTGGAGGAGAGCAGGAGAGGTCGCCTGGAGAAAGACCGAGGTATCTAAACTGAGGCCTGGAGAATAAAAACAAGAGCTCACTAGGTAAAGGAAGTGAGGGAAGAGCGTCCCAAGTGGAGGGAACAGCACGTGCAAAAGCTCTAAAGAAAGACAAAGTATAGACTGGAGGAAATGAAAAGATGAGACACTGGTGTGCGATGAAAGAGACTTTCTTTCTCAAGTGCAGACTGTTTGCAATGAAAACGAACTAGCTGCACCCATTCTTGATTACTTTTACTATCAACTTGACCAACTGCTTCTCAGGAGGTTGAAGAAATCATTGTCTTAATCAGAGTCAACAGTTTTATTGGGCATGCACTATGAGCCAATAACTCTTAAATATATAATCTCCTTGCATCCCCACAAAAAATGGCACCAATTGAATAATATGAGGGTCAGAGTGGTTACTTAAACCCATCCAGACCACGTAGCAAGTAAGGATATATGGCAGGAGGGGGCAGGATTTGAACCTAGAGCTTTGAAAACCAGTTATTGAACCCATTCCATCTTAGTAAAGATGGATTTCCTCATTGAGGTCCACTTTAGTGATTGAACCACCTCCCAGGTAGGAGATGAAGACTTCCATCCATCCACTCATCCATGGAATCAGCCAATTATTGCACATTCATTGGGTGCCTACCATGGCAATTTCTCTACTTTGCCTTACCAGTCTCTCAAACTGGCTCCCAGAATATGTCCACACCCCAGATTATAGGAGACTACCTTTGTCTTCCAAAACAAGATGGTGCCTCAGAGAAGGAACTGTTTAAAGGTTTTCTCTGCAGCTCTACTTAAGGTCATGTTTTGAAGCTTGTCCAGTTGCTTAGCCAATACTGTATATCAAAGACTATTTCAGAAGTCCCTATGGGCTAGGACTTAGAGTATCAATGCCATGCGATGCTTTAAGGTCTAAGGCATCAACTTGAAATTTTGGGTAGAAGTGAACTTTGAGATTAATTAGTTCAGCTTTCTGGTTTCACAAATTACAAAATTAGGGTATGAAAAGAAGAGGCACCTTTCCCAAAAGCATATGGAAGCTTGATACAAATGTTTGCTTATATGATAGTTGGGATATACTTTGTCATAATCTACTAATTCTTAGGGTATTTTTTTCCTGTGTATGGGTATTCCAACTCTTGAGTGTTTTAGAGAATGAGGAACTGAGGTAAGTCTTCTTACTTTTCCTCTTTGATCGCAGTGATAATGAAAGCTCTGTCTTTCCCCCTCATAAGTCTCCAGAAATGTGAGAGGATTGAATCGTTTCTAATAGGTCTTAAAACCCTACAAGAAAGAGTAGTGAATAGGCTATATTAGTTACCATTTTGTAATGAAGATCTGAGATACAGAGGAAGAAAAGAGACACAGGCCTCCCTCCATCACTAACTACTCATATAAAATAGAAGGACAGATCTGTACTCAACAATCCTGTCACGATGGAAAACAAACCACAAAGAAGATTTGTTATCAAAGATTTGACATCACCTCTGAGTGTCGAGCTGTGATGGATGGTCCAGAGCTAATGGAGTTTATCATCCCCGTCATGGTCATGGAATCTTCTGGGTTAGCGAATTCAGTTTTCAGATGATACCATTTAAGCTTGGGTCTAGCAGAATGGAGAAAGAGGACCTGGTGCAGGAGAATCCAAACGTCACTTCATACAGGGAGTTTTCACTGATCCCCAAAGCTAAGACCTCCTCCTATAAACTCCCTTCCTGCTGTACACCCTTCTTCCCTGGACTCATACTGATGAAATACTGCCTGGATGTCTGTCCTCTCCAGTGGCTTATGAACACCCTGAGAAAACAAGTCTGTCTGGTTTGCTCTTGTATGTTTACTGCTTTATAATGTCTAAAATGTAGTATGTATTCAGTCAGTGCTTGTAGAATATAATACTACATACTTTTAGGATTACACAGGAAGAGTGGCACCAAGGAGGATTCTAGAATTTTCTTCTCCACCATTTTAATGTTGATCTTTTGTTACTCATTAGGTTTTTGTTTTAACTTAGTCACAAGCCTCATAATTGACACTGTTTGCTTGCTTTAAATAAGACTAGTTCTCATTTATCTGAGGGTTGATGGAAGGTAGGCAGATAAGAAATCTAGGCGTGGTTTCTTCAACCCCAAAATTCTGGTCGAGGCGAAAAGAGAAAAGATGTCCCCTCATTTATTCCGCCAACTCTGAAAGCTGCTGAGCAGAGCCACAAATCTCCCTATCGTGTGAACCCCTTTCCTCAGGAGCAACAAGCAGAAAGATGAAGTCATGGAAGCCACCAGAAACAGGGGTCCTAAAACCCCAAATCTCTGTCACAGAGGGTGGCATTCACAAAAGAAATCTGGAAAAGCGCCTAAAAAAAGCCTGCACCCTGTCAGACAAGAGGCGGGATTTGAACAAACAAGGTCAGTGACGCCAACAGAGTTGCCAGTGTCAAAGAGTGACAGAACACAACTTTCTTTGTCTCCCACTGACAGGTGACACCATCCCACAGGCACCTCCCCAGTGAGGAGCAAAAGCGTCATATTCATTCTTCTGTGGCTAAGCCACCATGAGCCTTTTTAAAACAATGCAACTTTAACACCCAAGGAATTTGCCTTTAGGGGAAAATCTCGTATCCCTTCTATTGTAGGAGCTGGGTGGCATGGAAGCACGCCAAGGGCGACGTGTGAGAAGAAGAAAAGAGCAATGAAAAAGAAAAATGGGGGTGATTACCAAAGAAAAGGATTCCTAGCCAAATTGGGAGACAGGAAATTATTGGCCATTGGATGCTCCTCGGCTGGGTAAATTTGGGGTCCGCGCATTTTGAGCTCTGTCTCTGCTGGGTGCTCTGTTGGTCTGTAGAGAAGACAAGGAAAGCAAAGCAAGCCACCAGGGAGCTATTGCATTCACTTTATGAAGAGAATCATGGAGCCACACCCTGAAAATCCATCCTGAATTTGCAGGTGCCGCCATCTTTACTGGGTGGAATTGAGTCCCTCTTTGGTTTGTTATTTTTCTTAATGTCCCTTCGTGGGAAAACTGAACTCTTGGGTTGGCATGTGCAGCAAGGCAGCCACTCTCTGAGACTTTCTGGTTGTGCTACTTTAGGCAAGAAATGATGTCATGTCTTAAAGTCCCAGTGCCCCTGTCTGAAACATGGAGATGATAATCTGAACGTCGTTGGATTCTTTTAAGGATTTACTGAAATAAACTACACAAATGTTCTGATATAAGGAGGTAAATATTAGTTTCCTTCCCTTTTCCTCTCTTCTCTCCCTAAATCCAAATTCTCCTATTAACTACCCGGAACAACCCGGGGAAAATAATTTTAATCGGCCAAATCTGAAAGATGAATAAAAGAAGAATTTTTGTCCTTGCAGTGGGAGAAGACCACAGATCTGGGCCCTCAGAATATAATTACCATTCTTTCATTACTTTAGGTAGATTTTCTTTTCCTCAATAATCAAATAAATAATGGCAATGATAGCTTATATTTGAGAAGCTGCTATCCTTGAAAATCACTCCTGAAATATCTGGAGACTTTTACAGAAAGTCTAAGAATTCTGGAAACAAATAAAAAGAGGGGATGAAAAATAGGGACAGAAATAGGGATTTCTACCTTATTGGAAATGTTTAGTTTTGTATAACTGGCATATAATTGGGTAATAATAGTCATAAAAATAGAAATGATCAAAATAATAATAATAATAGCTCCCATTTCTTAAATACTAAGTATGTGCTGGGCATTCTACTGAATATCTTGTCTATTATCACCTGTCCTTCTCAACGCAAGCCTTTCAGGAAAGTACTGTGATTAACGTGTTCTACTGAAGAGGAAATTGTACCTTGAAGAAGTGGCATGTCCTCCCCTAGATCATGGACTGTAGGCAGTGAAACGAGGTAAGAATCTAGACCCTTCTGCCTCCGGAGACTGAACACTTCTCCTGGGAGGCTGTCTTTATTTTTCCCCTTTAGAACTTCTGTTGCAAATCTCTCTGTCTTAGTCTGTCTGTCTGTCTGTGACATTTGTTTCTGCCTCTCTCAATGTGTCTCTAAGTCTTTCTGGCTCTCAGTGTCTCACACACACACACACACACCCCCCAAGATCCCCTCACCACATGCACAGACACACAAACACACATACATGTGCATCAAATTTATCCGCACTGCATACACACAGACACACCACACCCATACATATCTCACACTCTTCACACTCAGACACTACACTCACACACACATATGCACCATGCAGATACATACAAAACACACATACTCACATACACATTCGCACACACACACTCTGCACAGACACACATACCACTCACACAAATACATTCACACCACCTATACATACCCACAAACACAACATACTCACACCACACACACACACAGACACCCCTTCTAGGCACATATACCATACAATCACACTCCATCCATACACACTCCAAACACACACACACACACACACTGCCCTGGCCAGCAGTCTGGCTGGCACACTTGTTCTCTATGTTTTTATAACTCTGATTTGCAGGTCGACTCTGATAAAGTAAAATAGATGATAACTAAAATTTCTACTAAACGTTCTGTATTTGAAATCTTCATGGTATGACTCTCTGATCAAACCTTTTAAAACTCTGTAAGTGCTATTGGTCAGCTTTTGAGACTGGTTTGCATTTTGGAAAAATTCTCTTAAATCTTAACATTATAGTTATTTTTTTTCTCTCAGAACCAGAAGAGCAGGGTCTTAGGTCCAGCTCTGGCACTAATCGGCTTGGAAGGTCTCACCCTCTCTCTCCCTGGGACTCAGTTTTGCAATCCGTACGATGGGAGAACTGCATCCCACTTTGTCCTCCCCAGGCCTCCTCTCCCATACCCTGGACCTTCACTGAACACAGTCTGAAAATCAGGAGATTGACAAACCCCCCAAATTCCTTCTGGCTCTGCAATTCTGCAATGTTATGATTTTATGTAAAATTAATAATAATAATGGTAACAATAACATTATTGACTATGGAAAATCTGATGCGAAAAGAAACAGTCATCACACATAAGCCAAAACCGAGATAAATGACATCTTGGGTATCCATTTTTGTATTATCCGTGCTAAATCGCCTCTCGGTGGACATGGGTAATTAGGGGTTTCATGATGTGGTTTGGTCCGCCATCAGTAATTTGTACTTTTGCCTCCACAAATGCAACCATGGAAAGATCCCAGATCCAAGTCATCTGACTCCACATCTTAGACAGGAATTAATGGCTGAGCATTGAGAGTCCCTATTACAAAATGCCATTATATTTTGTATGTAAAATATTTGTTGGCAGAACACCATTGCTGGAGACTTCCAGAGTCCATCATCAATAGCTAACTTAATACATTTGGGGATGCCACACCTGGGTTAGTCTCTTCCTGGTTTCATTATGCACCATTTCATCTTCCGTATTCGACTAGTTGCACTCGCATCTGGCTTGAGAAGGTCAAACAGTTCTGTGGAATCTTGTATAAATAAACAGATTTTTATGGGCTAGATTTTGGGTAGGATGAACCAAGTCAGGGAATCAGAGAACACATTCCTGGTTTGAGCCTTCAGAATGGGAGCATGCTCCCTTATTCTCTGGTTTCGCCAAAACTGGGGAGAAGCGATGTTCTCCCGAGCTCTTCTGGAAAACTTGGTTCATTACCAGTTACATTATGACTGCAGAAAGGCAAGAGAACTCTGACTCAAAACCCAAATGGCAGTGCTTAAAGTAATCAATCAGAAGAATTGCAAGACATATGCTGAATGTAGCACCTCAAAGTGAAAACAGATGGACTAATGTGTATTGATCTCCAATGGCTTGTTGACACCCTTTTGAAAAAGAGGCAATAAAGGGCGTTGGGAGAGTGCTTTAAGTGGAGAAGGTTAAACCATGAGGGATTGAAAAATCTGGAACAAGGACCCTTTGGTGAACTCGGAGCTTCATTTTAGAACGTCACCCTGAAGTCTTCTGAGTCAACAGCTGAAATGAAGGGAAGACGCAAGAAGGGGGTGGCTTGGGGACTCGTCTCCGTCACCACCTTGCCAATTTCTCTCCGCTCCATGTTTATTTTTATTCTTTCCTTAGCTCAGCTTCCCCAGCTCCTCCAGCCTCTGGATACATCAACAGCAATCACACAACAGCACAGGTCCCACAGGCTATTCATGCAGGGTCCCCGCCCTCCCCCAACCAAATGCACTTCACCTTTCCTTAGTAAGCGTCTAATCTGTGTCTCAAGTGTGACTAGGGACCACACAATGCAGGTCCCACAATCTCCCTCTGAGCATTCCCTCTGCGTTTTTGTCGTATCCAAGAGACATTGCCACCTCCCTCCTCCCTGAGGTTCTGGAACCCTCAAAATGCCTCAAAATATTAAGTGGTGGGCTAGACAAAAGTGAGAGAATCTGCCTTGGGCCGTTTCTTACGTTACATCAACAAGCTGTGCCTTTGGTTTAGGTTGGCTGGTTAACGGATGGCGTGGGATTCTAAGCCATCCAGGCGAGAGTGAATGTTGTTGGATTTCCCAACTAGTGGAAAAGGCACCGATGACAGAAGGAGCTACAGGTAATGAATAAATATCTTTACAGAAATCTTTAAGGATATTAATCTCAAATCATAACTATCATAGTCAAAGGCGGGTTGGAGAGAGACTCTGAACACACTTTCTATTTCTATCTCCTCCTCCTATTTTCTTCCTCACTCCTTCCTTGTTAGGTGATACAGGAAGACAGTTTCTTGGGTCTTCTGCCCAGTGCTTTTCCTAAGTATGGTCCTAACAGAACTAACAGCTACTACCATATGGGTTAGGGGGTCTTGAAAGAAAGTAGATGAGCTGGGAGAGCCTTGGGTACATCTGAGAGTTAGATTGCTAGCAAAAATGGACCAGGCTATATGTATAGGTTGGGCAGAGGATGGAGAGAAAATCTTGGAACTTTCCAGAATGACAATATCCCCTAAGCAAATGCAAACCATCCAGTCACCTCCCCCCCATCCCAGACCCCTAGAGCTTATTTCATCATTTGCTAAATGTACAGAATAACCACTCAATGGGCAGGGACAAGGGTCTCTCTGGGCTTTCCTTCCTCCTCATCCCTCACTCAAGGAATTTTGCAGATAAATCACCATGTTAATCCCCTGACCTGAGAGTTATGGGCTGTAGGAAAGCAGGAGGAGAAGGTTGAAATGAGACTTGGGGACAGAAGGAAGCCCTTAATGAAAAATGAAGGGTGAACTCAGAGAGGGGCAGCCCACAGTCAGCATGAGTCTTCCGGAGAGAGAAGAGGGGTGTTCTGGGAGTGGTGGAGACAGGGGTGATCTGTTCAAAACAATGAAAGCTGAACGGGCAAAGACAGAGGGTTCAGGGAAGTGGGAAAGGGAAGGAAAGAGTTGTTACTTAAGGAAAAGAACAGAAAGGGAAGAGAAAGCACTGTTCCAATTATGAGTGAAGTTGAGAAGCCAGCCTTATTGGATCTGATATGACCCCTTCAGGCTTACAAAGTGTTTGCTCCTGGAATAAGAGGTCGACTGGCAATTACTATAGAGGGCTTTGCCGGGCCTGGTAATCTCCCTCCACACTCTCCTCCTATTGACAACTAGGCTTGTAGCCCCAGTGCCCGATGCAGAGGTGGTGAGGACAAGGCAGGTCTGCAATGTTTGCTCCATGGCTGGGGGCTCTTCTCCACTGATCTGGTGACCTGGAACTCAGATGAAGAGACTCCAGAGAGGAAAGATGGGAATTCTTGGCTTTCTGTCTTTGATGGAGTTCTCTTCCATTGTTGGGGTGTGTGTGTGTGTGTGTGTGTGTGTCTAGGTAATGTGATAAAGTACAGACACTGACACTAATTCAGCTATCGAGAGAGGATGAGAAAGGTGGGAAGAAAAAGACAGAGAGAGAGAGAGGCAGAGAGAAATACAGTAAATAATATAAGCAGAACTCTGCCCACAATTCTAGTCAACGAGCGTCTTATGCTCCGGGGAAGACATAAGATGTAAGATGTGCCTCCGTTGTTCCCATCACTTGTCTAGGTCCCCATGTGTCTCTTATAATGTGGCAACTTAATAGATTTTCAAAGATAATTTCATCTTTCAGAGATCTTCTCACTGCCTTTAGACCAACTCCACCATCTGCGTTTGTGGATGTACGAAGGCATGTTGGGTGAATGTAGCTATACATTGTGTTTGAATGGGCATATGTGTACTGTGAACATGTGTCAATGCATGTGTGGATATTGTATGCTTTTGTTGTGTGTGTGCAAATGGATCGTGTCTGTATATAGGTATGCAATACGGTGTGTGTTCTGTTGTGAATCTGTGTATATTTTTGCATTGTGTATCATGTACATAGGTATTTTGTTTGCTGGTCAGGTATATCTGTGCCGAGGGTAGAAGTGGAGTGATAACTGGGGGCAGTTTCGAGGAAAGAAATTCCTGTGAAACCCTCAAGTGTATTTTTTCCCTTCCTCTGAACACTCAGGTGAGTTCTTATGGCTGAATTTATAATCTAGTGCCGCCTGGTATTGCCAATTATGAGTGCAGGTGTGGACGTGTCTGTGTTTATACCTATGAGCCTGTGAATACGGATGGCTTTCTCAATTAAGTTAGAAATTGACATAGAATGATGTGACACGCCACCCAGATCCCCCTTTATGAAAGAAGTACTTATTCTCATCGTTCTTGGGAGTGGTCCTCAGGAGTTAGCCCTCTTTGGGGATTTCCAAGATGGAAGAAGGACAAAATGGATGAGGTCCACACTTGGTGACTGGTCAACGTGAGGGTATAAGAGACCAGACTTCTCACCCCAACTTGGGGTGAGACTTGGGACATCTTGGGACACCTATGAAGGACCATTTCAGCTCCAGAGCACCCCATAGGGTTGACTGAACCTGTCCCTCATGCACTGCGGCTCAGCTGTTTCTTCCACCTAATCCTGATTTCTTTCCCTCCCTTCCACAGATATAGATCCTGAAAGCTCTCCCTAATAAACCTCCTGCATGCTAATCTCCAACTCAGGGTTCACTTCCAGACAGCCTAAGCTGCAATGACATAGCAGGAACCAAGTCTGGAATCACTGAATCATAGTGTGGAATGGATATTAGGGGCCATCTCTTCTAACCTCCCCACTCGTCCTTCAAGGTGGTTCATTATCATGGTTATAAGCTCAGACTCCAAAGTCACACATTTGCTTTCAAACTCCAAATCTGTAACAGTCATGTGAGAGCAAACAATCTTCAACCTTTCTGAGTCTCATTTTCCATAAACTAAGACAATAATAGTGCCTACAATCCGGGGTCATTATGAGAATTAAATGAGATAAGGGAGGCAAAGCCCTCAGGCAAGAGTCCAGCACACAATAAATACCCAATAAATACAACCAGCTACGACTATCTCGTTCTTGCTTAGTAGGTGACATATGATTGCTGGTGGGAAAGCGTACAAGGTAGCATTACTTGAGAGGCTTAACTACAGCTAATAAATCAATCACAAAATAAATGCCATACTTTTGTTCCTCTTGTCAGACTTGGAATTTCCTTAAATGAGGATTTGAGCACCAAAACCCTGGAGGCCGAAAGCGAAGGACGTCTGTGTTTGCTGACACTGTCTGTTCCAGTTACTCCTCTAGCTACAAGTTCTAAGAGCTCCTGGCTAGCCGGACTCCTATTTAATACAGTAGAGGCAGGGGGAGAGGAGTGACAAAGAGACTCAGCCTTCAAATACTATCAAGATGCATCAGGAAGTGTGGAGAGCAAGTGGCCACGGAGCAGTAAATTATTACATTGCAGAGGAGGGTGGAAAACAAGCTCCTTCTGTGGAAGCCAGCCTCTGAGATGGGACCCAATGACCCTTGCCTTTTGATGTTCACATACTTGTATGCTTCCCTCCTACAGTGAATAGGGCTGACCTGTGTAACCAAGAGGATACTGTGGAAACACCATGGTGTGACTTCTAAGACTGGATCATAAAAGGTAACGCAGCTTCCTCCTCACTCTCTCTTGTATGACTCATTCACAGGGAGACCAGCTGTCCTGTTATGAAGACACGCAAGCAGTCCTGTGCAGAGACCCATTTGGCAAGGAACGGAGGTTCTTGCAAACAGCCCTATGAGTGAACCCTCTTGCAAATGGATCTTCCAACCCCAGTCAAGCCTTCGGGTGAAACCGCAGCCCTGGCTTCTCGACTACACCTTCCAGAGACCTTGAACCAGACCCACCCAGCTAAGCAGCTCCCAAATGTCTGACTCTCCGAAACTGTGAGATGATAAATGTTTGTCCTTTTAAGCCTCTAAGTTGAGGGTAATCTTCTACAACAACAGAGATATCACTGATATATCTTCACTTTTTTCTTTAGAGAAGATACAATTTACCCAAATTTAGTTATTAGCTTAAATTATATGAAACTTCCAATATTTGACCATTTTTAACCCATAAAAATGGCGAGTGCATATGGTACAACCTCTGCATTGACCTAGGGAAGGACTCGAGGGTCTGGATAAATGCAGGCTTGCTTATGGAGCTATGGACACTTCGTTCCCATAAAGGTCCAAAAGTGGGACTCCTACAGTAGCTGGCTGGGTTTCTGGAAGCCAGCACCCTGGGAGAGTAAAATCCTTCTGGCTCATCTGCCTGCCCATGCCCTCCTCTTCCCAGCAAGGCCTGGAGACAAGCGGGTGGAAGTTAGAGGCCTCCCCAACAACTCTCCTCCTCCTTCTTGGTCCCGCAGTGTTGCTTTTTACAAGCCTCCAAGTTCAACGAAGCTCCAAGTCCTAAAAAGATGTGGAAAGGTGTCTTGCAGCAGACAATTAGAGAGATTGGTTCATGGGCCCCGGACACAGCACTCCATCCAGCAAAGCCTCAAAGACTCCCTGGTGAACCATTTGCCGGGTTTAATTTCTCAGGGGCTGCTTCAGCAGGTGGCCGCTAGCAGGTAGTCAATAGGGACCTTCTGGCCAAAGACTGAGGGCTCTTTGGAAAGGTCAAAACCAGAGGCCGGAGGGCACGGCTCAAGAGGTCACGGGGTCGGGACCCGTCACTGTGACAGATGAATCTAAGCATGTCTCTCACTCTCTCTCTCTGGAAGCAGAGCCAAGCCTCTTGAGACAGGAGAGGTGGGAGGGGGTGGTGTTGGGGGCTCACAAAGAAAGGCGAGTCTGGTGTCTGGCCGGCACCTCTCAACTGGTCTTCATTATGTGGGCCGACAACCCTCTCTTCTGCCGCCCTCTGTCCCTCACTGATGGGGTGCTGTCTCCAGACCTCTCAACTGTTCCTCATTAGGTGAAACAGTGGGCTTTTGTCCTGCATGAAGCCTTCTTTGTTCTGCCAGCCCAGCCAAGCTAGAAAGCCAGAAACTGATACAAAACAATGCCACTCTATCCTGAGGGGACCCCCCTCCCTCGTCCTCCCCCTGGCTGGACAAGGAAGGGCGACTTTTCCCCCAGTCACATCCCTGGATGTCTAGCTGAGAACGCGTTTGCTGGAGCAGAAGAAACACATCTAGCAGAAACCAGTGGTCCTCAAATTTGGCCACACATTGGTCATCTAGATAACTTCAAAAGACACCTATGCCTGGCCCTTACCCCCAGGCATTCTGATTTGATTGGTCTGGGGAGTAATCCAAGCATCGCGATTTGTAAAATCTCTCCACGTGACTCAAATGTGCAGAAAAGTTTGAGAACCACTGTTCAAGGAAGAGAACTTGCTATCAAATATCCATGCCCACCTGTCACCTTTGCACGCTTTAAAATTAGGGATAGTAACAACACACTTCATATCTTGCGGGGTGTGGTGCCATCCATCAGAAAATGTGCCTGCTGGAAACAACCAGACAGGCCATACCTGTATGTGCCATGTAAAGACCAGCTCTGTCTGAGAAGGCGATGTGGACACAGCCAAGGTAGGTGTGGAGGAGTGTTTTAATGTTGGCATTCGGCATCTTAAATCGTGCACAGATATTTTAAGATCCCCGGGGCTCTGCCTCTCTTCCTCCTCCCTGATCTTACCACTGTGCTCTTGAGCACAAAATCCACATCCTCAAAGACAGAGCAGGTGACTTGGTTGGCTTGAAACAACTTGTCTTGCCAGCTCCCATTCCCAAAGCAATGCTGAAGGAGACTTTTACCCAAAAGCTATCCCACAACATGACTAACAAAAATGTACAACTGAAATCTCACAAGGTTGTAATCTATCATAACATTAATTAAAAAAAAAAAAAGTTATTGAGCTTTTATGAGCCTGACGTGTCTCAGTCCCCACTACTTGGCTTATAGGCTGAGTGGGAAGATGGAGTGTAATTTCAAAACGAAGAAAGACTCTCCTTCCCAACCAACAGCAGACCCCAAATTATTTCCCCTCCCAACATCTACAAGAAAAGTCTCAGCTCTTCGTGGCCCAGGCCTGAAATGGCAATGTTACAGATTTATATAGTTTACAGCCTCCCAACTCAGCTTTTAAAAGTGGACATTAGGTAGTGGTGCCAGAGTTCACAAATAAAAATACAAGACTCCCAGTAAAATTTGAATTGCAGATGAACAATGAATAATCTTTTAGTACAAGTATGTCCCATACAATACTTGGGGGCATACTTATACTAAAAATTCTTAATTATTTATCTGAAACTCTAATGTAACTGGGCACTCTGTATTTTATCTGGCAAGTCTAAAGTAAGGAAAAGGTAAAGAGCAGTTTGCACATTGGTGTGAATTAATTCAACTGGTTTCCTCTTTGCTTAGCATGAAGCTGACAGTTTCTGAAGGAATGGGAGCTTCCAATGGGGACAAGAGGACAACACCTCTGACTTTGGAGTGTTGTTCTGAGAAGGATCCTAAAGCCACAGCAAAAATTGGGGGAAAGAATGTCATGATTGATTAGCAATGTCTGCCTTGGGTCTGGGATGGAGAATGAAGACATGTGAGCCACATATTTACAGCCATAGGTCAGATTTGTAATGATGTGTAAGAAATGGGCTCATTGGGGTGTTGAACTTGGGGTCATTTTTTTGTTTAATGAGGAATAAGAGATGGAGAAGCTGGGTTTGTCAATGACGATGTAAAAGAAATGCAAATACGGCTGAGTCTTGAAAAATGTGGAACTGTTCACTACATAGAGACTATGCTTTCTCCTTCTTGGTCTCCTGTTTCTTGCCCTTCCCTCACAGCAGCTCCCCTGATGCCAGCCACCCAGTAGGTGCTTGACCCATGAGCACCCACCCAACACTTTGAATTAGAAGTCACCGAGGAGGACTGATGGCATCAAAACACATTTTAACCATTGCCACCCTTTCTCCCACCAGGCAGATAGTAAGTAACCTAAGGTCACGCACCTGCAAATGGCTGAACCTATAGAAAAAGTCTTTTTCAGGCCTTTACGTCATTGAGTTTTCCTGCTCACCAAGAGATCTGAACTCAACGTCCTCATCCACAAACCGCCATTCTCCTTCAATACTGAGAACCATGGCTCCTTCCGGGCTGCAGACGTTGACCAGGGAGGAAGTCAAGAGCCACCCTTGAATGGGAATGCCCATCTTCGTGCACATTCCAGATGGCAGAAGGAACCCATTCATCAAACTATGAGAATTCCCCCCGCTCTCCAGGAAGAAGGACCATGAAGTGCTTGTAAATACATGTCTTTAGGTTTAAACAAATTGCATCATTATTTTTATTTTTTGAGGGGAGTCCATGTGAAGGGAACGAGAGGGCTACTTTGGTATTTGTCTTGCAGACAATATGTGGCTGGATCTCATGCTGTTTCCGTATCTTCTGCCCAAGCCAACTGGTCAGTCCCATGGCCTTTCAACGGGAGAAGGGTGCCAATTCCTAACATTCTATTTTCATACTGTTTGATGATAAAAATCGCTCCAGCAGGACGAATGGCAGTGAACAAAAACAGGAAGCAGCCCCCTGATTAGATAGGGACAGGGCAGCTTGTGGACTGAAAAACAAAACAACTAAAATGATAAATGAGTAGACCACGAGTGCTGCCATCCCCTTCCTGAACAGGCCAAGAATAAATGGAGAGAAGAAACCAGGGAAGAAGTCATGACTTGGGCTATAAGTGGGGGTGAAGGAGGTTTACCCTGTGGCATGACTTGGAGGATATGTTCATTGAGTTGCCTCTGGTTAAGGCCATTGGGACCACTCTCTGGTTTTTAGTCACTTCCTTTGAAAATCTTGCCTAGGTGACTTAGCCCCTTGCTTTGAAATGTGGTGGTCCTTTGAAATCTATGATCTTAGGACCTTAGCCAAAAGTAAGTCAGCACTTGTTTTGTCATCTCTTTACTCTATGATAGTGGTTCTCAATCAAGGGAGATAATTTTGCTCTCCAAGGGATATTTGAGAATGTCTAGAGACATTTTCCACTGTCACAACTGGGGCGGGGATGCTATTTGGCATCTAGTGGGTACAGCCCAGGGATGCTGCTAAACATCCTATAATGCCCAGAACAGCCCTTAACAACAAAAAATTATCCAGCCAAAAATGTGAGTAGTAGCAGAACTGAGAAACCCTGGTTTAGGATAAGTTAAAATATAGGAATAGGTATAGACGTAGATGTAGGTATAGATATAGGTACAAGAACGGGTATGGATATGGAAATGGACATGGACATAGATGTGGATATAGACATATTGAATTCATTCTGCAAAGAAGGAAGAAAAAGAAAGACTGAGCATCATTTCTGCTAGCAAAGTCTTCACAGGGATAAATCACTAGAAAAATGAAATTTAGACAGTTCCTTATAAAGACCCAGAAGCTCAGACCTGTCCTAAGTGTGGGCCTCACCTGCTCATCCCAACCAGGAATTCATGATGAGAGCATCTCTTCAAGTTCCGCCTGTAACACTGACTTCTTGCTTAGTCTTTGGCAAGTTCCTTATTCTGTCTGAGTCTCAGCTCCACATCTATGAAGTGCGTAATAATGTCTACCTCCTATAGTTGTGACAATAATTAAATAGGATTACATGAGTAGCGGCCAATGCATGGCCTGAAATCTGGTCAAATGGGAAACATTCAATAAATTGCATCAGTTATTAATATTAGCATCATCATCAACTTTGGGTTTGAACCTGGATTTCAGATATTTCTCCTTTATTAACCAAAGGGGTTCTTTGCATTTGGAAAGAAAGCTCAAGGGTACCAAGATGCTAAAATAGGACTCTCTTCTTGTCTTAGTTTCGGCTGAGGTCCCGAGGAAATAAAGACCAGTAGATAAGCTCATCGAATGGTTTCCTTGAAGTCCCCTCACCAGGAGAGGCTATGACTGAGATGGAGCCAGGAGACATAACCACTGTGGATAGA